CTGAGGCCACTTATGTCCACTTGCTATTTGTGTGCATGCATGCGTGCGTTTGTGGCAGGAACAGGATGGAGGAGAACTTGTTGACAGCTGAGAGGTAAAAGCAAATACTGTATTTTTAGAATGCTGTGCTAACTGTTACGGGCATCTCTCCTTGCAAGTGCCCATTCCATTGACACTAAGCTGAGCCACCGCATGAAAAACAGAGAAAGAGAGAGAAAGAGGAGAGGAACACATACACACACACGTATTATGGCCATCATTTTTCCAGGGCATAATGAGTCACTGTCCAAAGTCTAAAATGGGAAGTAAATAATTTTACGGGCACTGTCGTTGCTCCCGGAGGCAGGAGGAAAACCACCCCAGAGAGTCAATGCTCTCCAAAATGTTCTGGTCTCTGTTTGGACCCATTTCTTTTTTTGTTTAAATGTTGCCTTCTCATATTTTCACAGAGCCAAAGGATGGATTGATGAAGGGTTGAAATGGCATGGTGTGGGGGGGGGGGGGACAATAAAAAGAATGAGGATCCTTTTATAATTATAGCAGACTGATTCCACTTTAACTGTCAGGGTAACATCCAGTGGAATCCTGGGATTTGCAATTAAGGGAAGGGTAGTTAGAATTCTCCACCAGAGAGCTCTAGTGCATTGCCAAACTGCAAATTCCAAGATTCCATATGATGAAGTCATGCTGATTAAAGTTGAAAAATAGTACTATGATTGTGTAGTGTGAACGGGACCCTGGGTACCAACTGAATTGCAAGAGTATAGTCTCTATTCCTTCACGAAATACAGCTTTCACTAAAAATCTAGAAAGTCATCTAGCCACAGTAAGAAGCATTCCTCATATACTTCTAGTTATAAAAAACATGGGCAGTGCATTAGCAAAGAAGGATTTGTTGTAGTAGACACTCAAGATCTAGCAAATCAAATACTGGAATGGAGAGAGAAACCAGAGGGAATCTTAGACAATTCACAACTGACTGCTGGATCAGACCCTTGGTTCGGAAGTACCTCCAACATCAGTCAGTAACAACTGGTGGCAAGACAACTGCCCAGTTTTCATTAGAAGGGATTGATCTAGAATTTCATTTGGTCATTTGGAGGTCCAAATTGTTGTAAGCTGCTTTGAGTCCCAATCTGGAAAAGGGTGGGATGGAAATGCTGATGCTGATCCTGATATTAATAATAATGACAGCGACAACAACAACAACAATAATTCTGCACCATAAATTCTGCAGGTTGATCAGCTCTGCTGGGGCTGAAAGACTCTATTACAGATGGATAAGTGGCAGAGTAGAATTCCCAACCATAATGTCTGTCATCCAAACCTTCCTTCCTTCAGGTAAATGGAGCAATTCCCTTGATGTATAACACTACTTTCCCAGCCATGGGACCACAGCAGATCCCCAAGGCTGTTTTCACAGCCCTCAATCTTCTACTCTGTTGTCTCCAACTCCTATAACTGTCTAGTGCAAAAAAGAAGGCAATATTGGCTGTAATCTGGGAAGTCAAGTGGCAAGTACCTGCATTGCCCTAGGCAATGTTTTCATCCCAGCCTCCCCTCTGGTACTGCTGGGAATCCTAAGTTTTAAGGATGCATCTGCACTGCAGAATTAATGCAGTTTGACACCACTTTAACTGCCAATGGCTCCATGCTATGGAATCCTGGGATTTGTAGCTTGTTGTGGCACCAGAGCTCTCTGACAGAGAAGGCTAAATATCTCACAAAACTACAAATCCCAGGATTCCATAACATTCAGCCATGGCAGTTAAAGCAGTGGCAAACTGCATTATTTCTGAAATGCAGATGCAGTCCGAGTCCTGTTCTCTTTTCGCTAGACTTTCCAGTCCAGCTTGATTAAAAGATGTATAGACCAGAAAAGTCATTTCTTACATTAAAATCACCTTCCTGGCCTTCCTTTGCTTCCTTCTTTTCCCCTACCCTGCCAATCGACTTGGCAGAGAGGTCACCTCTCTGAAAACCCCATCCAAGGGGAAATTAAATCATACATGTGATTTAAAACAATATACATATTATATATAGATGCACGCACGCACATCCACACATGCTCGTGAATTTGCATTGGCTTCAAAGATAAAGCGAAAGAATAAAGACGACAAGCGTCTCCCTTCTGCGTGACCTGCTTTTGAATAAACAACGTTATATTCCACAGTCAATTATCTCCAAAGTACAAAGTGTTCCGATGCCAAAAAAAAGACCGTCAGCAGTGGCTGGTCAAAAAGGACGCATCCGTGTACCGAAGTGAGCGCTTAATCTTTTGTGTTCCTGTATAATTTTATACAAACGGGGTTGGTCTGTGGGCCGCAGACAAGATGTGGCTGTGCTTTCTCTGTCTCTGTCCTGCCCCATTATTTCATAAAACATCTAATTGCAGGCTTTGCAAAAGAGGTGCAGGTATTGGTAGGGAAATGAAACGAGGCATGCTTTGCAGAAGCTGGTAATCAGACTTCCAGCGGTAAAATAGAAAAACAAATCATTACTTGCATCTCTTGGATGGAAAAAAATAAAAATAACCCTAATCAGATACATCTGCCTCGTTATTGGGGCTTCATTATGCAATGTCATTCAATATCAAAACGGCTTTTGTCATAGGCACTGTTTTGCTTTCGTACCGCTGGCTCCCTAATATTCAACGTTTTTAAAAGCAAATATTATTTTGATGTCAGCTTAGGGCAGAGTGGGCCTGGTTGTTACCCAAGCTCCAGTTTCTCTCCACTCCCTCTCTTTTCTGATATTAAGTTACTATCAAATGGGACGTAGCCGCAAGAATACCCTCATTGTGGGAAACCAGCCATGTCACATAAGGAGATCTGGGGTCATATCTGGGGAACTGGGAGGCTCAGCATGGGGGAAGCACCAGATCACGTAGCCAAGGATAGATTGATCAAGATCAGATTCTGCATAATCCCTTCACTGATAGGAATGAAGATGGGTGATAGACCTTGTGTTTACAAGTGAACAAAAATTCAAGAATACTTCTCTCTGGGAGTGATACTCCTTTGTCCAGAGACATTTGCACTGATTGACTGGCCATCCACAAACTTTGCTTCCCATTGTTCTCTCCTGGAAACTCCTCTGTAACCCTGAATTCTGCCCTATAAATATGGCTGCTTGGGCACCAGCAATTTGTTTTCACTTGAGGTCAGACAGACTCTCTGTCTGCATCTTGCTTGACTCCTCAGTATTGCTGGCCATGCCACGATCCTCAGGCAGCTTGCTGAGCCTCTTCCATCTCACGGTGTCCCCCAGATTGGAGCTCCACATTTGGAATTGAAACAATATCTACTTCTGTAACCCTTTAATTCACTATCTGCTATCACCTTTCATTTCATTAGTTCTTGAGTGTATATGTGAGTGAGTGTCTCTACTTGGATGGTGATTCTCTTTGATTCTTAAAACTATTTTGGAACTTACAGTCTTGAGTTCTATTTCTCAGAACTGGTATATACATGCTTGATTCCCACTTTGAGTTTCTTAAGCCCTCTCAGTTGCTTTCAATTAAGCTAATTCAATTCCCCCATTGAATATTAATTGTGGGCGCTCTTCCAGGACTCTGGCATTTTGGGTAACATGTTATTTTGCTAACCCCCTTTTATCCAATGGAGAGCTAAAACCGCCAGTCAATGTGTGATGGAAAAGATTCTATTTATTCATTTAATCATTAAATATTTTTATATACCACCCCACAGCAAAAGATCACAGAGCAGTGAATGAGTAAAGTCAATGGAAATGGATCCAAACCATTTAAAACAATGAGAAATAATTTAAATAGACTAAAAACATGCTAAAAAGCTAAAATGGTTTAAAACTATGTGGTTTAGTATTTTGAGAGTCAGACTTTCATCACTGAGAACCGCATCCTGGAGTTTAAGGTGGGTTTTGCCAGGAGAGGAACATTTACAATTGTGGCAATAGTGAATATGCAGCATAATTGAATATGGAGCATGGCATAGTGGTCTGAGTGTTGACTTATGACTCAGAAAACCAGGGTTTGATTCCCAGCTTGGCTGTGAAACCCACTGGGTGATCTTGGGCATGTCACACTCTCTCAGCCTCAGGGGAAGGCAATGACAAACTTCCTCCTAACAAATCTTGCCAAAAACACCCCTCATGATAGGTTGCCTGAAGTCAGGAACAATCTGAAGGCACACAACGAAAACCAGTAAACAGATTTGTAACTGCAATACCACCATTCTCTCTATCTTGACTGCTTATGACACTTATTAATTGTTGACTGCAGCAATAAAGTAACTTCTCTTACGCTTGTTGGGTCGCTTCTGGAATGTAGTTTCATTATACCCCCTTTACACTGAAAAATTAACTAGTTAACATATAACACTCGTTATTTCCCTGCTTTGGCCTGTTCGACCCAGTATCCCAAGCAGATTTCCATGAAAAATGTGCCTGCAGTGCCTTCTTGGAAACAAACAGACCTGGTAGCCAGACAATGGTGAAGAGATGGATAACACATTTACAGTAAAAACCAAAAAAACACCCTGCACTTCTATGTATTATCATTTGCCAGCTTCCTTGGAAAAAGCAGAATGAAATGTTGGATCTGGATCTATACTGAAAGTGAAAAAATCAGCAAAGAAAATTAAACAATGATGAAATTGATACCCTGTTTGTACCGACAAGGAGCAGTCCAGCGTATCATGGCCCCAGGGCACCCCAAACCTTCCCCTGTTGCAAAGCCCTCCATTCTGTTGCTGGGTGGCTATATGCATGCACATCTTTGTTGAGACACCTGCCTTGGGTTGCTTCACTTTGAGATAAGAATGAGGCACCTGGTGATAGGCACATGGCTGGGTGCCTGTTTCTGATCTCACAGGGAGTGACTGGTGGCAGTGGCAGATACGTCGGCTGCAACAGTGGGGTGCTTTTCAAAGAGTCGCTTGGCATCAGAACGGAGGGCTCCAGATCTCTCTGGAAGATCCAAAGCAAATAGCAGATTCTTTTAATGTATGTGAAGGGTGTTAGCCAGCGTGGCATAGTGGTTTGAAAGCTGGACTATGACTCTGGAGACCAGGGTTTGATTCCCAGCTCAGCCATGGAAACCCACTGGGTGACCTTGGGCAAGTCACACTCTCTCAGCCTCAGATAATAGCAATGGCAAACCTCCTCTGACAAATCTTGCCAAGAAAACCCTCTGATAGGTTCACCGACTTAGGTTCGCCATATGTTGGAAATGACTTGAAGGCACACAACAACAACAACAACAACAACAACAACAACAAGGGTGTTATACCCCAGTTCTGGTGCTGAACAGGCTAGCTGTCATTTGGTCTGTTTGCAACAGAACTGAGGTTTAGGCTGTGAGTCATCCAGTTTCCCCATCGAGAAGATGGAGGAAGGACATAGGGATCTGCTTGTGCAGACTAGGCCTGAGAATTGATTTTCAGAGGTTTTTTTGGGCTATGTGGCCATGTTCTGGAAGATTCAAAAGGTTCCTCCAGAAGTTTCAGCTCAAACCAGGCCAAATCTGAATTCCTTAGCTAATTTGAAGGATGGCTTTATGGAGATGCTCTCCCAAGATTATATTAAGAAGGAGCAAAGAAGGAACATCCCAGATTTACACCCAAGGCTACGGTGCCATTGTACACAGCACTCCGTCTTCCATCAAAGATTCTCTTTTTCCCAGCCCCAAGGTTGCACACTGAACCTCTGGGTTTAGTTTGCTCACTTTAATGTTTGTGTGTGAGTGCATCTACACCGTAGAAACAATCCAGTTTGATACGACCTTAGCTCCATCCTATGCAATCATGGGGTTTGCAGTTTTGCAAGGTCTTCAGCCTTTCTGTCAAAGAGTGCTGGTGCCTCACAAAATTTCAAATCCCAGAATTTCATAGTATGGAGCCATGGCAGTTCAAGTGGAGTCAAATTTGTAGTTTTGTGAGGCACCAGCACTCTTTGGCAGAGAAGGCTAAAGACCTTGCGAAACTACAGATCCCAAGACTCCATATGATGGAGCTACAGTATTTAAAGTGGTGTCAAAGTGCATTTTTATGTGCTCACAGAGTTATATGACGATAGTGAAACACCACCCTGTTAGTGAATTGCGGCATTGCACAACATTGTGCAACCCAATGTACATGCACACTGCACATATGCCTGCACAATATACAATGTGCCTTTGCATGAGAGCCAGTGTGGTGTAGCAGTTTGAGTGTTGGACTACAACTCTGGAGCCCAGGGTCTGAATCCCTGCTCTTCCATGGAAACCCACTGGGTGACCCTGAGAAAGGCACACTCTCAACCTCAGAGGAAGGCAAAGTCAAACCCCTTCTGAACAAATCTTGCCAAGAAACCTCTGGGACAGGGTTGCCGTAGGGTTGTCATAAGTCGACAATAACTTGAAAGTACAACAATAACAGCAACAACTGCTGAGATCCATTTTCCTAAGATTCAGGAGATTGCCATCTTGAAGGCACACAACTATGACAACAATGTGCAATGTACAAAGGCACTACATAATAATAATAATAATAATAATTTTTATTTATAGCCTGCCTCTCTGCCCAACAATCGAGGCGGGTTACATGAGCAACTTTGCTATTGTGAATGGAGTCCATCCATTCCGCATCATACGAAAATGTCCAACCATTTTGGGAGGGGAACTTAAATAAATAAATGGCTTCTGCAGAGTATTTTCAGGTATATTACTCCACACAAGTGTGCTCTCAGAGTTCGTGTTGTCCATTCTTAAGAGTCTGGGCCCATTTGTTGTAGTTGTGTGCCTTCAAATAGTTTATGATCTATAGTGACTCTAAAGTGAACCTATCATGGGTTTTTCTTGGCACGTTTGTTCAGAGGGCATTTACCATTGCCGTACTCCGAGGCTGAGAGAGTGTGACCATAGGGAGTCATAATGCAGTTGACATATGGATACAGTGCAGTTTGCTGTAATGACAAGGCACATTTGGAAGGTGTGTGCAGGTAGCTAATGGGTGAGTGGGTTAAAGGGCTTGGTTCTGCAAGCAATTCCTTCTCCTGAAAAAGTTGTTTATTGCCCTGGCTGTTATTTATAGAGTTCATGCACAAGAGACACATTTCAGGTGGCACCCGGGTAACACGCCAGGTTTCTTAACATGCCATGGAGGGAATGGAAATTCTGGATTTGCACATCGGAAGGCTCCGGGTTAAACTGGGACAGCCGCAAGTGTTTTTGACATGTGAAGATGAATATGGAAATTCCCCACTCGTCAAAAAGGCAAAGGCAGCATCTGAAATGAAGTTTGCAAGGACAGAAACATTCTCTTTTCTGCACTACCTGCCTAGTCACCTTACATCTTAAATAAAACAGTGAGACCAGGGCTGTTGGTAGATTCGTTTCCACAGACCTGGCTAGTCTCCCTCCCCCTCTCTTTTAAACATCTATTCTTCTTGCAAATCTTCTGCACTACAGTTTAGTAAGTTATTTCTTAACTAAGGGGAAATACAGACCGGCCAAAAGGGCCAGCCTGGGGGTGGAGTCAGGGAGTGGCAACCGCACGCTGGCTGCCCCGACTGTGCCCCGACGCCGCCATCATACACGGCGGGCGGCATCACGACGCTCCCTTGGTGCAGCGTTCATACACGCTGTACCAAAGGAGCACTGACAAGCCCCCACAGCAGCAAGGGCACTTTTTGGCCACTCTAAAAAGAAGTGGCATTTGTCAGCTCTTTTTAGAGCGGCAAACCTCCAGACTGGGGCCATGGCGTGCGGATGCTGTGGCCCTGATCTGGCAAGGACAGAGGCAGTAGGATGCCGCCGCTTAGGGGCTATCTGTACAGCCCCTAAGTCATCTGCTTTACATCAGCTTTCCCCAATCCAGAGTTTTTGGGACTATCTTTTGGATATCGTCAGACCCCTTGCTAGCATTAACATGTTGTGTATCAGCCCAATCTCTTGCCTATTCCAGTAGGACAGTGGACTATGTTGCCTCAGAGGATAGTGGAGTCTCCTTCTTTGGAGACTTTTAAACAGATGCTAGGTGGCCATCTGTCAGTGGAAAGGCTTTGATGGTGTCTTTCTGCATGGCAGGGGGGTCTCTTCCAACTCTAGCCCACAAAGTCTGAATGGGAAATGCACATTCCTAGAGAGACCATGTTTATATATGTGTGTGTGAACCACAGCTAAATGTGCTCATTTAATGTGAATCTACATCCACATGATTTCATAGTGGTTGAGCTACATCTCCTTTCTGCTGTTGCATAACCAACTGTGCACATTCGAAAGTGCCTGCTTGCTGTCCCATTGTGCAACTCCAGTTTTTTTCAGAAGGAGTGAATCAAGTGAGACATTGAAGATTGTTAGAAGAGTTAACACACTTTTCAAGAACGTGCAACATCGTGGCTGGAATCCTCTTGGTTAGACCCACTTAGACAAAACCTGTTGCATCAATTGTAGAATGGTGAATCAACCCAAGTAGTTGTTGAGAATAACAATAGGATTTAGACTCATGGGAAATTGTTACATCTATGAGCTCTGGTTATGCAACCATGAACTGAATGTGTCTATAGTACAATGTGTCTATAGTACTGAATGTGTCTATAGTACAATACGCCCCAAAAGTACAACCGCAGGTGTAAGAGAACTTACACAGGTATAGGATACCAACAAAATTTCACCCACAGCTCACCATGTCTTTCCAGCCCATGGCCACCTTGCATCTCTGTTAGTTCAACCCCCCACCAAAAAAAGATATTCCTACTTTACCTATATATGCTAATGCAGTGGTGCCTTCTAAGATATGATAAGGGAAGTATATCTACCTATCAACAGGATCCTATGAGAAAGCCAAATGTATAAATAGCGACAACAGTATTGATAATGACAAAAATACTGTCCCACCCCTTTTTTTACAGGCCTGGGATTCAGAGACTCTGAAAAAATGGATACAAGTAAAAGTTCACATCACTAAAACATACAGAAGATAAAACATATTTAAAGTGACATCAGAGTAAAAAGTGCAAGAGAAACAGGAGACTCAATTTAAGGTGCCCAAGAAATGATTTACTCTTATATACTTTTTTTTTATCCAGTAATGGGTGTGTGAGAATTTCAACTTCAGAAATTTCTGCAGTTAAATTTCAAATAGCCCCAGAAGAAGACCTTTGAAAGCCTATGCAGAGTGGGAAACATGGGCATTTATCAAGAAAGCATCCCTTTATTGAGCACCTCCAGTTCTTATGTGGATTTTATTGGGTTCTTTAACATTTTTGCTTCCTTCAACAGAGTAGAATTTAAAAGCTTAAACATTAAAAAGAAACAAATGTGGCTCATTAATAAAAGCTCCGAAATAAAGAAGGACAGACCTATAGATTCATGGGAAAGGAAGTTGTCAAGATGTGTCAGACCTCATAAGTGCCCCCCACTTCCCATGCCTATGATAACACATATTTTGCCTCTTACCTTTGGTTGCATCACAGGGTGCTGTGGCATTGGGGCAGGTTCTGTGACATAGGTCTTCTTGGCACTTGAGGATGGGTACTGCCCAACTGGGTTTGGGGTAGCAGAACCAGGAGGAGCGTATGCTGATTCGGGCTTCCACATACTTTGTGGTACAGAGGAGGGTTCAGTACCATTCCGTCCTCTGTAACTTGGGCCTCCAGGATAGGCCGACTCTTGAAAGCGAGCCTGTGGTGGAGCATAACCATAACTTGGTTCTGGTTGGGTTGCATAGCTGTAATCAATTCCCCGGGATTGAGGTGGAGTATAGGATGCCATCCCTGGAGCATAAGAAGGCTGAGGTGCCTGGTTGGGAGATGCACCGCCATACTGGGTGGTTGGTGGTTGGAATTGGGGAGTGGGCTGAGCCGATTTCACTTGCACGTTGAATGCTGGATGAGTGGATGTAGAGGCTGTGGTGTACGAAGCTGGTATCGGCTGTGGTTTCAGGGTGCCAACCGGTGTCACTGGGATTGGAGAAGGCTGAGAGCCAGGCTTGGAGGCCGATTTCTTTGTGGCGGTAAGAGGAGGCTGGTTTGGGATGACCATGCGCTTGTGTCCAGTGACTGGTGTAGACATTGGAGGTGTAGAAACCCCACTCGGAATCCCAGAGGCCTGTGA